GAAAGAGGGTGAGAGAGGGAGGGAAAGGAACAGAGAGGGAGAGAGGAAAGGGGGAGGGAGGGAAGGGAGAGGGGTAGAGAGCACCTACATGACAAGGGAAGGAATCCTCCAGAGAAGTCCAGAGTGACCCTCCTCCTTTCCTCACCTGATTCTTCTGCCTCGGAAGAATAGTCTTCATCACTGTCCTCCTCCTCCTCTTCATACTCTTCCTCAGAAGGGTTGAAAGTCTCGTCCTCTATTTCAGACTCAGATTCCCCAGCTTCAGCATCACTTCCCTGGGAAGGAAAGGGGAACAGGAATGGCGTCTCTTAAGGAAACCCAGGCCTTCAGCTTGCAACTCCTTTATGAGTTTGGGGGCTTCGTACCGGACAAGGATTGTTCCCCTCTCTGGGTTCAAAACCCAACACTACATTACAAGAACGTGAACAATTCCAATCTGTTAATGGAAGACAACGTGTGTGTGTGTGTGTGTGTGTGCGTGTGCGTGTGCGCGCGCGTGCGTGCTACAGATTTAGGACCCTGATGAAAGAGTTATGCCTGAGGTGAGGAAGGCATGCTACAATTCTAGATTTGCTAGACAAATATCCTGCAATCCATACACTATAAAAATATATTACAAAAACCCGGTGTTGTCCGGGTATTTATTTATAGGGGGGAAATGTCTGGACCAAACGTAATTTCTAATGTTGGATTTTCCCCCTTATCAGAGGGAGCCCCCTTGTGGAGTACTGTGAAGCCGCTACCATGGCAACTCCACTGCACTTGTACAGTAGAAGCCATTTTAAGGCACGAAAGGCTGCAGCTTAACAGAACAGTGTTAGAGGTGTCTTACCACCACAGTCTTTTTTCCCAGAGAGTAAGTCATCTGTGTATCAACTTTGTTTGACATTGCTCAAGGTGTTCCAGAGTTATGCTGGAACAAACACACACACATTTTTATATAGAGAGAGATTGTTTTAATATATATATATCCCAACAGACCTTGCTATTTCCTGGTGGTAATCATAATTCTCATCTTCCTCTAACCACTCCATGGCTCCAGTAGTCGGATTGGCTCTTCCACAGAAAACCTTCATCCCCGTCTGTCTTGTTTTGTTATTTGTGAGGAAAGTTCTGTTTAACACAAATCCTATCTTTGGATACATAAGCTAAAACCTATTGCAACAGAAAAGAAATTGCAGTTTAGGAAATAATGTGTACAGCTGTAATGCCACTGTCACGTCACAACAAAGCCTTGCAATCTTCTGAGATTTACTCCAAGAACTGAAAAGAATGGCCTGGTAACCACACATACACATATAGGGTGTGGCTGCCTTTTACAGGTAGTCCTCAACTTACAACAGTTCGTTAGTGACCATTGGAAGTTATAACAGCACTAGAAAAAGTGACATATGACCATTTTTTCACACTTACAACCACTGCAGCAACCCCATGATTACATGATCCAGAACAATGCATCTAAAACCTATGAAATGGGCAGCTATCTCAATTTGATAAATGAATAAAAAAGAAAACCAAAACTTGGGTCGATTTCATTATCAGACAGAATGCCAGCCAAGAGGGCCCTGCGTGCCACCCCTCCCCTGGAATACAGGTAGCCCTCAGCTTATGACTGTAATTGAGTCCATTTTTTTGTTGCTAAATGAGACATTTGTTGAGTTTTGCCCCCCTTTATGACTTTTCTTGCTACAGTTAAGTGAATCATTGCAGTTGTTAAATGAATAAGCCAGTTGTTAAGTGAATCTGGCTTCCCCATTGACTTTGCTTGTCAGAAGGTTGTTCCCCGGGGGATTCTGCAACTGTCATAACTATCAACTAGTTGCCAAGTATCAAATCTAGGTCACATGACCATNAAGCCTCCTAAAGGCTATTCATGCCCTTTTTTTGACAAACAAACAGGCCCGTTTTCACGAAAAACTCCTTTTGGGAGGTCTGCAGAGTGCAAAAACTTTTTTTTTAATTTGCCTCTTCAAAATCTTGGTTCAACTTACACTCTGAAAAATACGGTAAATCGATCCAATAAAATCTGTTAAGAGCACAGAATATTTCCCAATTTTAATTTCTGCCATAAGTCATTCTATGGAAAGGTTAAACAAAAGATCCTTAAAATGAATGAAAAAGTTAAGAATCTTAAAGTTGTTTTGGAGCAAGTAGAAGAAAGGGTTTGAGGAACCATGTTAAAGAGATGTCAACAAATAACCAGGGGGAAAAAATGCCTCCAAAATCATTCTGGCATCCGGCATCAATTTGGTTTTGTGTTTTCTTCCAGAATCAGAAAAAAAGAGTGGGGACACCAGTGATGAAGACTGTGGATACATCAGACGATCATGGGAGGAGTATGAATCTAAAGTCCTGCAGGAGTTTGACTACGATGGAGTCAAAGAACTGGATTCCGAGTAGCTTGCAGGATCTTTCGTATTTGTGAAACCCCCGTGTACGATGTGGCCTTAGCAAATCGTGGCACCACAGCCCTAACTTGTCACCCTGTTTTTGGCCAGAGCATCTTCAAGTCAAGAGAGAGCAGATTGCCTTAGTGCGCAGCATCTTCTAAAATGAAGTGATCCAAGTGACGTTTGCTATTTTTGGACCTCAACCATGGCATGGTGCAAAAAAGCCTGAAATTGACAGGTAGATTCTGCCATTTTGGGATGCCTGACAAATCCCTTTGGCATGAAAGGCTGAAGTTTCCACAAAAAAGTATTCTAAAAAGATCACTTTTACTACAAGATTGGAAATGTTGCTGTTACCTTATTGAAGTAAATAGTTTTTTTTTCTTTTGCAAGTCTTATTGGATCACTGCCTGTAGAGAGATTAGTACTTGAAAATGATTGTTCAGATTGGAAATTTCTGCACCTTAATATTCCTAGTTGCCGCGTATATATAGTTGATTACATATTAAAAACAGTAATTTATCCCTTTTTATTGTTGTATACCTTCATTAAGATATCAGCCTTGACGTGTCCTTTTAGGAGTTAGTGATATATGATAATTCTTGTTTCTCTTTGCATCGTTTACAAATTTAGTTGTTAAAATATATAGAATTTGAAGTTTGCCTGACCTTGTTTTCCCTGTAGAAGTCCTCTGAAGGAAAATATTCTTTTTTTAGTCATTATTATTTAGTTGATGCTTTCTTGTATTCCTTAGGTGTTTATTGTGGTGCTCCATCATTGAAGGTTTTCAAGAAGAGACCAGATAAACATTTATTTGGAATGATATAGTGTTTCTTGCTTGAGCAGGGGGTTGGACTAGAAGACCTCCAAGATCTCCAACCCTATTTTTCTATAATCTATTAGTTTATCAATGTAGACAATGAGTTCCGAGTGAAGTGCTTACAGTTCATAGATAAACATCTCTAGTCCACCCCTTGTACTAATCCTATATGGGGAGAAAATAGAAAACCATAGCTTTTGCTCCATTATACGGGAAAGGACAATGCCAACAAAATAGTACCTTCACATAACAATTTTCTTAATATAAACTATCAAGCATAGAATATTATCTCCATCCCTTATTTTGCAAAACCTAATTGTGGGATCTTTGGTATTCTCCAAGCTTTATTGTTTTCTTGCAGACCTTTCATTGCCCAACTAGGTAACATCATCAATGCTAGTAGGAAGTGGGATTTGCTCTCATTGCCCTGTCAATGTTGGTGGGCATGGTCTTGATAGTTCCTTCATTGGATTGTTGTTTACCTAATTGTAATGATCTGGACCAGGGGTCAGTAGCCTTAAACACCCAAAGAGCCACAAAGATCCTAACTGTTCAATTCTGGAGTCGCCCAGAAGTCTGGTTCCCCCATCAGAGTCTCCTCCTAGCGCAGCATCCTTTGCTGATCGGAAGTCCTGTTCCCCCCCACCATAGAGTCTCCTCCTAGTGCGGCATTCCTTTTCCTTTACCTATCCTAACCATCAGTTGTGGAGCTGACCAACAACAGGGAGCCACAGCAGAGGGATGAAAGAGCCGCATGCAGCTCCAGAGCCGTGGGTTGCTGACCACTGATCTGGACCTAGGGCCTTACCCCATTCCCCTGTGTTCTTACTCTTGCCCCTTCTTACTGTCTCGGAGTCACAACTGGGACTGCAGAGATGGTTGTGGCTACGCTATGCAATCACATGACCTTGTAATCCAAGAACTAGCTGTAACTATCATCTTCGCTTCAACAGTTTAACTGGCATTTTGGCAGAAGCAAACTAGAGAAGCTGATCTGTGCCAGCCCCTCATTGGCTTTACCATCACAGAATTATGGGTCCAAACTCTACAATGTCTCTCATAGAATGGTACTTGGACTCTGCAATTATTGCAGTACGGATGCTCTACCCTCTTTCAATTTGAGTTTACCTTGGGTGACCTGGATACATCTGTACAATTTTCTTACAAGACTGCTTCAATGGGGTGTCTGGCTTAGCTTCCAAATAAGGTCAAGAGTCTCACACATTAATGAAAAACAAGTTTTCCTTCACAAGCTGATTCATGTGCTCTTTTTTTTTTTATTTCCACATGGTGGAATTTTAATTTCCCCCTCTCCAAAGTTCTTGTACATACAGGAACTACAAAATTTGCTGTTGTGACAACTAACTGATCTGGTCAGGAGATAAAACAGTTCAGTCTTTCTATAAAACAATAAAATGCATTTTAACAGCAGAATGGAGTATAAAAACAATCCCGGGTATAGTTTAAAATTTTAATGCCATCCTGTTAAACTAAATAAAATGTTTATTGGCCACATTTCTATTGCACTATGAGACTGAAACCTAATTAAAAAGCACCAAGATAAATGGATGTAGTACATTTTCAAAGACATTTTTGATCTAATGCGGTCGATTCAAATCATTTGGTTTTCATAAGAACTGAGAGACAAAGCTTCAAAAACTGTTCCTTTCTGGGTTCTTCAGCAATACAATAAATAGCACTCCTCTTATTAGAGTTGATTATAACTGGATTCAAATCTGAAAGCAAATCCAATTTTTGTTTGAATAAAAAAAATGGATAATTACATGTATAGATCGGTTGCTGTTTTTTTAACTACCTTCCATTTATAATAAGTACTTAAGAACACAGTACCAATGATTTTGACAATTAAGCTGTGGAAATTTACACATGCACATAATTAAAAGTGAGCAAAGCTCACAACTGATCGGAGCCTCTTCTCAGGTGTAATCCATTGTGAGAGTACTTAAACTTTTTATCCAATTGCATACAAAGGAGAAGCAGAGGGGTGGAGGGATATTTCTACCTTTTTGCTTCTGTGCCTCTAGAAACAACCAAGAGACACAGAAAGACACAACATGACACATTTTTGAAGAGAGTCTCTGCTTGGGAAGCTAACAAAATGCATGTTCAGAATTGAGGGTGCTTTTCCTAATGAGGTCCAAGCAACCTTTTCTAATAAAATAAAATCATTGATATTGATTTGCAGCTGATAAGGGTGGAAACGTGATCCCAGAGAGAGAAGATATAAATGGACAATCAAGACGTTGATAAAATCAAGTGGACTGTCGGACTACATTGGGCCTGAATCCCTGTTCTTAACCTTTCTCTTGTTTAGACTAAAAACTAGCATAATCAAGTGAGAAACTGTCTTTGCCCCCAAAATAGCTTCACAGTTTCTTCCTATACCACTTTACACAAACTTTTTTCTACTTGCATTAAAGAAAGTGCCTTAAAAATGTGCATTTTTTAAAACTATGAACCCTATTAACTCAGTAATAAAAGTTTTGATAGCTCCTCAAGCCAAGTCCAACTTTTACATTAAGAATGGTTCTGTATAAAATCCTTAGAAATATCAGGGAGCTGAAGCAGCATGAATTTGACATGTTCAATGCCCAATGTTGGGAGAGAGCCAAATGAACAGTTGTGGTGCTTATTATCCTGGTTAAAAATGTTGGCTTCCAAGCCCTAGACTTCGTACCCTACTGTGTTGAGTTGATTCCAATTTGATTGACTCCAAATACACTTCCATCTAAATCTGTAATTTGATCAAAGCAATTGAAGTCAGGAAGAGATGACCAGCAGCTTCTGAACATCTTGAGGATATGAAGAATGGAGTTAAACTACTTCTAAAGATCAAGAAGGCAGATAAACCTTCCTAGCATATTCAATCACTTGGGTGGAATAGCTGGTCACAATCATTAGTGCAGGATTAAACAACTGATTGTTTGGTAGACCTGATGAAACTTTCCAATTTTAGTAAGTTGGACAAGATTTTCTTTTTTGTCAGACTAATTGTCTAATGTCCATCTTCGGGCACTTTCCTTAAAGACCTTTGATTTTGCTGCTTAAAAACATCGGATTAAAAAAAAACGTAGTGATTTATGCCTGAGAATCTTGGTGAGCGTTCTCATTTTTACAAAACTAACAAGCAAAAAGGCAACCAAATTATGTCAACCGGGTAAAATCTCCAAATCCAGAAAGAAGATCTGGGCTGCACTGTCATGTCCAGACTTTCATCCGAGCAGCTGGTTGAACTACTCTTTTTTCCCCATGTTTAATTAGATTTGCTTTCTTCTTTTTCTTCAACAGCATCCATTTCCGTCAGAACACAATCACAAAGTAACTGAGTGGATCGAGTGACAGCACCTGGAGAAGGAGCAGATTGGAGATTCAGCCATGGAATTATGAACGATTACTTCAAAACCGAGTTGCTTGCTAAACCAAGATGGGCATCATATGCCTCAGAACAGAGGATGCTTCTGTTTTTATGCATTTGCTGCAAATCCAATCATCCAGTTTAATTTTTACATAAATTGTGGATGCTGCAATTTTTTCCTTTAGTAACAATCTGTTTAGCAGATATTACAATAGCCACAATCACTCCATGCACACATAGAAACATATGACTAGTTTTTCTTTTTCTTTTCTTTTTTTCCTAATTACTTGGATAGGGATTATTCTTTATACTATTTATGTTTGTATTAATTGTCATGGATTGCACCAGTGAGTCTAAAACCAATTTCATTGTATATGTGAAAAAAAAATGACAATAAAGGCTATACTATACTATACTAACTTGCAAAAAGGGCAGGATTTCTCTGTAATCTACCACCAACACAAGTTTTTCCTGAGTTGAACATTATTCCTTCCTCCGCTGACACTAAATTTAACAGTGGACATGATGTTTCCATCTGCACAAAAACCTATGGACCCAACGATATTGCTTCTTATTTACTTCTCTTTCTCAAAATGAAGGGGAAGTCAACGTCTAATCTTCTAATGTAGCATTTCCATGACAATTAAAATGCAGAGCATCCCATTTTACCCAGATTAAGATGTGGGAAACTGCCAGTTACTCTGGAAGGAAGGCTCAAGCCAGGAACTACCGTATTTGTCGGAGCATATGACGCACATTTTTCCCACAAAAAGAGGCTGAAAATCTGGGTGCGTTTTATACACCGAATACAGCATTTTTTGCCTCCCGAAGCGCCATCCCCTTCACCAAAATGACTGTGCATACCCTTATGGAGGCTTTCAGAGAGCTACTAGGGACTGGGGAGGGCAGTAATGAGCAAAAAATGAGCCTTTTTGCCCCCCCCCCCAGCCCCCAGCAGCACTCTATAAGCCTACATAAGGCTATGCATGCACTTTTTTTGAAAAAAACGGGCCTGTTTTCGCGAGAACAGGTCATTTTTTGCTCATTTTTGCCCCCCCACCGCCCTCCAGGAGCATTCTGCAAGCCCCCCCCCCCCAAGGGTATTCATGCCTTTTTTAAAAGGGGGGGATTTTTGCAAAAAATGGATCATTTTGGGGAAGTTTGCAGTGCAAAAACTTTTTTTTCCTTTTGGAAAGCTCTTTAACTGATAGATGAGAATTACATTGATCAAGTGCTGTGCCAGCAGAAAACAAAGTATTAGGTGCTGCAGATTGTCAGCAATTTCCTTCTCCAGCACATGGATAAATGCATCTGGAAACATCTACCTACCTACCTACTCTCTCTCTCCCTCCCTACCTATTGTATTTCTCTGTCTCTCTATCCCTCTATCTACCTACCTACCTACCTACCTATTCTCTCTCTCCTCCCCCTCTATCTACCTACCTACCTACCCTCTCTCTCTACATATCTACTGTATTTCTCTCTTTCTTTCTTTCTCTCTCTCTATCCCTCTACCTACCAATCTACCTACTCTTTCTCGCTACCTATCTACTGTATTTCTCTCCCTCTCTCTATTTCTCTCTCTATCCCGCTACCTACCAACCTACCTACTCTCCCCTCTCCCTACCTATCTACTGTATTTCTCTCCCTCTCTCTCTATTTCTCTCTCTCTATCCCTTTATCTACCTACCTACCTAACTATTCTCTCTCCCTCCCTATCTACTGTATTTCTCTTTCTCTCCCTCTCTACCCCTCTACCTACCTACTTTTTTTAAATCTGCCTCTTCAAAACCTTGGTGCGTCTTATAGTCCGAAAAATATGGTAGCTTTGAATTGTGATACAGTTGCAAGTGTAATAAGCTTGACCTCCCACAAGTTCCATGAAAGGATCTGGTCATTCCCAGTGTTAGGCAAGTAGCCTGGAGAAGATTCTTGTAACATACAGTAGCGGCCAAAGTTGTGGAAACCTTTTGAAGAAAGTGTATTTTTGAGGTTGGTGACTAATAACACCACATTTCTTTGTAGTACCACCATAAAATTATATATCAATGGAGAGATAATTTAATCAAGAATGTAATTCAACAAGGTTTGTTCAAGTATCTGTATCCTATGAAAAGTTAAAGCCAAATATAGCCAGCAATAAAATCCTGTTAATAGAAGCAAACATTCAATCTTGGTTTCACATTGTAACAGCAGCAGTACTAAAAGACTTGGTTCACTCAATGGGAAGAGGTTTTAAGGCCGTAATTCATGCTAAACGTTAGCCAACTAAGTATTAACTGACATGGTGATAATTTTTGTATATCTCATTTCACTTTTCTTCTTTATAACTGCTATTCTAATAGCAAATCCTTCATATAGGTTATTGCATTACATTCTTGATTAAATTATCTTTCCATTAATATATCATTTTATGGTACTACTCCAGCCAATTATTCTACGCTCTTATGAAAACGATCCTTACCTAAGACTTTGCTGACCAAAGGTGGCCTTTTGGATACAGGCAAGTAGACCCCCATGAAGTAGACTGGAATCCCAGAGAGTGCAATTCCAATGCCAATCAGAGAATTAACGGTGTCACTGTAGAGTGGCACAACCACTAAAAAAATCGAGCACATACAGAAGACGATGGGGAAAAACAGGCTCAGCTGGAAAACAGAAAAGACAGCACTGAATAAGGAGGAGGAAGAGGAGGAAGTCATGTTCCAATTCACATTCTTTTCCCATTGTCATTAGAGATAGCCCCCCCCCCCCGGTGTACAACAGTTCATGGTGCAACCACTTGAAGTTGCAATGGCACTGAAAAAAGTGGTCCTTGCATTTTCAACCATTGCAACATCCCCGTAGTCATGTGATCAAACGTTTATGAAGGTTGCAGCTTCCCAGGGACATGTGATTGCCATTTGCAAGCTTCCCAGCCAACTTCCGACAAAAAAGCCAATAGGGGAAGTCAGATTTTGCTTAATGATCACATGATTCACTTAACAACTGCAGTGATCTACTTAACAACTGCACCCAAAAAGGTAATAAAATCAGTCCTGACTCACTTAACAATAATCTTGTTTAGGAATAGAAATTCTGGTCACAGGTTGTGGTTGTAAGTCAAGGACTAACTGTTACGTCGCCGGAAACTACCTTTCATCCACCCAGAAATTGCAAATAGATCCACAGAAAACACCAGGATGATCCGTAACACACCAAAGTACAGTGGAATCTCAGTACTCGACTGTTTAACAGATTAACAGAGTTGGAAGGGACCGTGTAGGTCATCTAGTCCACCCCACCCCACCCCCCGCCCAAGCAGGAGACCCTACACCATTTCTAATGGATGGAAGTTCAGTCTCTTCTTGAAAGCTTCCAACGATGAAGCTCCCACAACCTCTGAAGGCGACTTCTGTTCCATGGGTTGATTGTTCTCACTGTCAGAAAATGTCTCCTTATTTCCAGGTTGAATCTCTCCTTGGTCAGTTTCCATCCATTGTTCTTTGTCTGGCCTTCATGGGCTTTGGAAAATAGCTTAACCCTTTCTTCTCTGGGGCAGCCCCTCAAATATTGGAAGACTGCTATCCTGTCTTCCCTGGTTCTTCTCTTCACTAGACTAGCCATAACGGTTCCTGCAACCGTTCATCTTATGTTTTAGCCTGCAGTCCCCTAATCATCTTGGTTGCTCTTCTCTGCACTCTTTCTAGAGTCTCAACATCTTTTTAATAGTGTGGTGACCAAAACTGGATCCAGTATTCTAGGTGGGGTCTTACTGAGGCTTTATAGAGTGGTATTAGTACCTCGCTTGATCTTGATTGTATCCCTCTGTTAATACAATTTAGGATTGCATTGGGTTTTTTGGCTGCCATCACACACTGCTGGCTCATATTTAACTGGTTGTCCACTAAGACTCCAAGACCTCTTTCGTAGTTACTGCTATCAAGCCTGGTTTCACCCAGTCTGTATGTGTCCTTTTGGTTTTTCCTGTCTGCTTTGAAAGTCATTGAATTTGGTACTCGATGCATTTGAATGCAGAAATTTTGTCCCGGTACTCGTTGTTTGTTTGGTACTCAACGCACAAGCTAGAACTTGTTAGCGTCGGCTGCTTCATGGCTCGCTGCCCTTTCCAGTTTGTTTTATACTCAACATTTTTGGTACTCGATGCATCTCCCAGAACCAATTAATGATGAGTATCGAAGTACCACTGTAGTCTTAATCTCTTTGCAAAAAAAACACCAGTGATTGCTTTTATATAAATGATGGGTTTAATCTTATATACATTCCTACCTTTTTTTAAAAAGTTTTTTATTTTTGCTTTCAAATTCATTTTTAAATATACATTCTTATAATTGTTATTTAGCATTTGTTAATTCATATCATTTTTCCACCTGTATATTTACATTTTCATACTTTCTTATTTCCCCTCCGCCTGATTTAATGTGTATCATCTGAGTTATTTTTTGTGCTTTGTTTTTCTATTTGTATCTTTTTTCAAGCCAAGCATAAAATTGCCCCCATGTCCTGTAGTACACCGATTCCTCCTTGTCCTTTATTCTGAATGTCAACCTATTCATTTCTGCACAGTCTAATATCTTCTTTATTACCTCCCCTTCCGATGGGATTTTGTCCACTTTCCAGTTTTGTGCAAATACAATTCTAGCTGCTGTTATTATTTGTACAATGAGATATGAGTCTTCTTTAGCATATTTCTCTGGTAGAATACAATTACATATTGTATACAATATACATTCTTACCTTGAGTGGTCGATGCCGATCTGGTTGTTTCCAGCGGAGGTAGAGCTGTCCAGCAATGGACAACCCGACAAAGAACCAATAGCTGAAACTGAAGTAGTTAATAAGGAGAAATACATCTTCCACAGTCAAGTAGATGAGGCTCATAGTACACTGTTAAAGAAGATAAGACAAAGGCATGAAAAATCCCAAGCACAGCATTTTCTGAATTCTACAGTATATAACAGCAACACTTTGACTGACTTACTCTCTTGGCAAGTCGGGTCACTTTGATGCTAAAACATCATTTGTACAGGTAGTCCTTGACTTATGACCACAATTGAGCCCAAAATGTCTGTTGTTCTGTGAGACATTTGTTAAATGAGCTTTGTCCCATTTTATGCCACAATGGTTAAGTGAGTCATTGCAGTTGATAAGTTAGTAAACGGGATTGTTAAATGAATTTCACTTCCCCATTGGCTTTGCTTGTCAGATGGTTGCAAAAGGTAATCGCATCTCACACACACACACACACACACACACACACACATACACACACACACACGGACACCGCAACGGTCATATGTATGAACCAATCACCAAGCATTTGAATTTTGACCACAATTGTAGGGATGCTACAAAAACCGTAAGTGTGAAAAAGGGTTATAATTCACTTTTTTCAGTGCCGTTGTGACTTTGAACGGTCACTAAATGAACTGGTGTAAGTCAAGGTCTATCTGTAATGGAGAAAATAACAGCAACAAGCCACTGGCGGGCCATAATAATGATCTCCCCAACACGTTTCAGAAGGGTTAGGTTGCAAAACTTTGCATTGGCCTCTGCCATGCTTTCCCCAGGTTTAGAAAATTCCTACCAACTCTGTCCATTATCCACATGAAAGGGGTTTGATGACTGCAGAGAAAACAAGCTTTAGCAGTTTCCTGGGATCAAACTTTGTTGCTTAAAAGTCTATTTCTCTTCTTAGTGGATAGATCTGCAGGGCAGAATGAGCATAACTGAATTTTTTGTTCTTTTAACAACCTTGTAGTCCCATGCATCGGGATGGAGTCGGGGTGACTGAACAGAGCAGCAGCATTTACTGGCCGGATGCCCTTCCTGAAGCCTATGCGGAGTTCGCAGCAGACAAGAACTCATTGCACCCAGAGATAAATATCTGCCACTGCCTAGGATCGAACTCGCAGCCTCCTGATTGTGAAGTGAGATCTCTACCTGAACAATCACAGTAAATTGGCTTACATTGAAGAGAAGAGCTGGGACGGGTGTAAACCTTCCAATGTGGATCATGGATAAGAGGTCAGGCAGATGACCTTCCCGAGATCCTACAAAGAAGAGCCTGAATAAAAGAGACAGCACACTTAATATCCCAGGCAGTATAAATCTAACAACGTATATTACATTTGAGCCAGGGGAGTGATTAAGTAATCTTACAAACTTAATCACTCCCCTGGCTCACGTGATAACGGGAGGAGAACTTGTAGCTTAAAGGTTAACACAATATGTAAGCAGCCCAGGTTTGAATCCCAGTGAGGGTATGGCTAGCTGATGAGAGCCAAATAGCTTGAAATAGATCTATACTAGTCTCCCTTTATTTATTTATCAGCAAAAATGTAACACAAAATGATTTGCTGTGCAAGAGACGGCCTAGAAGGCTCCTGAAGTGGGTCTGAAAGGCAAAAGGGAAGCAGTATGCTCCCTCCCATATTTGGGCAGACCAACTGCTTTGACAGAAGAAAAAAAAACAGTGTGTGTGTGTGTTTGGGTGTGTGTGTGTGTGTGTGTGTGAGAGAGAGAGAGAGAGAGAGAGAGAGATACATATATACTTTTGAGAGAGGGCATCAGAATTGCATTTTGTATAATATATGCCAGTGTGTTTACAGAAAAAAGTGACAATAATGGTTATCTTATCTTGTAACTTATCTTAATCTTACTTCCCCTTTCATATAAACAGAAATCAAATTTTAAACTAAATCATCTCTTCAATAAGCTTAGACATAGAACATTCTTGTGGTTAGGGATACACAGCTTTTAAGTACGATAAAGCAAAATTAATTGTTGTTCTTTTACCTGGATGATGCTAAAATGGAGGCATTCAGCCCCCCAAAACAGGACAAGGCGACAGCTATTGGAATGGTCCAGCTGAAAACCCCAAATACTTGGTCAGCAAACGTCTAACAAGATAGAAGAGAAAAGAGTGGGAAAATTAGAAGGCATTTAACATGCACCAGAACAGTGATTTCAAAATGTTAAAAGTTCAGGAAGTTCACAGCCAGTCTCCGCAGGTAAACAAATATCGAATGTTTCTCTTGTCTGGGTATGTCTGGCACTGAAGTTCAGCTGCGGTTAAACAACTTCAGAAGTGAATTTCAATCTGAATTTATTGTTGGGAACGCCTGATGCATAAAATCATTGCACCCATCCTGGGCAGATTAGATTGCTATACTATTCAACTTCCCTTTGTTCTTTAGCAATATTTTAAACTATCCATTTGCCCTCGAAACACACTAAGTTAAATAATATATAGAATAATTTTCCTTGCTTGGAGAGAGAGAGAGAACAGTTAATCTTTTTCAGATAGATTTACTCTCTTTTTACAACCCTGTCATGTAATCTCTTAAATCATGGTAGAGTCGGAGCGACTGGATGGAGCTGAGCCTTTACTGCCCGGATACCCTTCCTGATGCCATGTGAAGTTCACAGCAGATTTTATTATTATGCCCTAGGAGAGAAATACAGTAGAACCTCTGGTCATAACCACAATTTGTTCCACAACTTTGGTCACAAACCAATTTGGTGATGACTCGAACCTAATTTTGGAAATTTGGCGCTTACCCCCAAAAAATGGTGTGGAAAGGGAAATCGGCCGCAAAAAAAAACCCATGTGATTTTTTTTGGTCGGAACCCGATTTGGTCAGAAGTGTTTGTGACCAGAGGTTCTACTGAATCTACCAGTAGGATCGAACTCTCCAGCTTCGGAGTGGGAGGTGAGCATATTCATCCCTAGACTACCACACTATGATATACAGTACTCTGTATAATATATATAGATATAGACGATGATAGATAGATAGATACATAGATACATAGATANCTACTCAAAATTTCCACTACTGGTTCTCCAGAATCTGTCAGAACCTGCTGGATTTCACCCCGATCCAGGAGAAACTCTTGTATTGTATGAGCTATCAGCTCATGAAGTAATAAGCTTTCCTTCTCTTAGACATCTTCAGCAGATGGAGGCTCATCTGTCAGAAATGTTCTAGTAGATCCTGCTCTGAGTAGGGAGTTGATTACATAGCCTCCAATGACCCCTTTCCAAATCCATGATTCTATAGTTCCAAAGCATGAAACTCAAACTGAAGTCTACTAGGGAGGTCCAGACCCCAACTATTTAAAGAAATGGAACTTCTCAGAATTTTAGAACATTCCATCTCTCCTCCAGACTTACATTGGTTCAAACCAGTGCTTCCTCATGCTTTACTCCTATTGACTGGAAGTTTGGGGTGCTCTGGATATGATCCAGTCCCAAAACAGTTTGCTTCATCTATGTCAAGAACATCAAGATGCTGCTAACTAACTTGTCAGTTGAAAACTAGGTGAAGGTCTTTAAACTTTGTGAGGTTTTTTTTATTTGCTGTTAAAAATAAAAGCTCCAAGAAGTTCTCTTACCTTTCTGGATTTTTAATTTCTTCAGTTACAAAATTCAGGGTGTCCCAACCTGAGTATGAGAACAAGGCAGAATAAAGTGCAAGAGAAATTCCTCCGAGGTTCCAAGATGACCCCTCAAAAGAGTCCTGAAAATGTTCTGAGTATCCTGGATATGAAAGAAAAACGCAGAAATAAATGCAACCTTGGAACATACAAAACGAAGTGATTGGTTTTTTTAGAATACCTTAGTAAGAAAAACATCCACTGTACAGAACCTCTGATATCTGTTATAGGATAGGTAAGGTATAATCCCACCAGAAATGTAGCAAGATTCCATATTAAATAATAGACAATTTTTATGTAGGGTTTCTCCTCCAGGACACAAACCCAGCTACCACGTACACAGTGGCAAAATTCTGTGTTGCTCCAATGTCCACAAGAAAAAAATTGGTTACAGAATTATAGTTGTCATCTTGTACCAATTCTTTGGACATATCTCTAACAATTTCTGGACCATTGTATTTACTCCCATACTTATCGGCTTTTCACCCACGTAAACCAGAGAGTGAGCCAAACAATTTGAGAACATGTATGTTATTATCCACTTTTAATGTCAATACTTTTTAAATATATTTTAATGTCAGTACTTTTTTAAATATATTGTAAAAAGTAATGTGTATTGCTGGTCTTTGATCATAATAATAAAGATTTATACTATAATAGCAATAAGCAAAAACTGATTGCTGTCAAAACTCGATTCCATAAAATGTCAACTCAAAGATATCTATGCTCTCAGCAATCCCAAGAAATTCAAAATGCCCATTGTTTAAACACCCATTTTTTAAAAAATTCATCTTTTTTTGGTGTGGGGGATGCAAAAAAAAAATCCTTTTTGCTTTAATTTGGTGCAGGGGAGTTTGGAGTCAATGTCTTAATTTCAGATCCATGTTTTAAACGTCCCTATCAATGCTAGGATTGTAGATGTCTTCTTCCTTCAGATGCTAATTCCCTTATTTGGGGTCTCTCCTGAAATAATCTAACTTTTTAGATCAAGCACATATTAAACCACTCACTCAATAGACACCATTTAGGGAAGAAGCACATGTGGCTATCAAGGTTTACTTTTATTTCCTTATTTAGCCTCAGCCCATGGGAAATAATTCTGAAGCTACTCCAATGAGATCAAAATGCCCCTTACTAGAGCAGCTATCACTGTTTTTGCCTTATTAGATGATAATGAATGGTAAACATTCCCAATTCATAGTCAGGCAATACATTTAGAAGATAGAATACAGATTGGAATGGACTTTGGAGGTCTTCTAGTCCAAGAAGTCCCTGCTCTAGCAGGAGAGCCTACTACACCATTCTGGGCAAATAATTGTCCAACCTTTTCTTAAAAACCTCCAGTGATGGAGTACCCACAAGCTGTTCCACTGCTTAATTGTCCTCACTGTCAGGAAATTTCTCATTAGATCTAGGTAGGATCTCTCTTTAGCAATCACCCATTATTATTCGTTTTGTCCTGCCTTCAGGTGCTTTGGAGAACAGGTTGACTCCCTCTTCTTTGTGGCAGCCCTTCAACTACTGGAAGACTGCTATCATATAACCCCTAGTCAGTGGTGGGTTCCGGATCCACCACATGCACGCATGTAGCACATGCGCACAAGTGCACAGCGTGTGCATGCGTCCTTACCTCTTGCGACACTTCCGCGAGCCTCCGTGATGCCCCAGCTGCTCAGCGGAGCATTGCGTAGGCGCCGTGCACTCTGTGTGCTTAAGCACCAAAGAGCTCAAATACAGGTAAGGAGCTCGGTAGGGNATAGAATAGAAGATAGAATAGAATAGAATAGAATAGAATAGAATAGAATGAGAATGAGAAAGAATGAGAATGAGGAATGAATTAGAATAAGAATAGAATTTAGAATAGAATAGAATAGAAATAGAACAGAAATAGAACCGGAACAGAATTAGAAGATAGAATAGAATAAAATAGAATAGAATAATGGAATGAGAATAGAATAGAATTAGAATTCTTTATTGGCCAAATGTGATTAAATACACAAGGAATTTGTCTCTGGTGCATAAGCTCTCAGTGTATATACAAACAACGAAGCAATATAATCATAAGATACCAATAGAAGAAGGTAGTAGGCAAACAGAAAAACAGAATGACAGAGTTGGAAAGGATCTTGGAGGTCATCTAGCCCAGCCTCCTGTTTAGGCAGGACATCTACCTATACCCTATACCATTTCAGGCAAATGGCTATCCAGTCTCTTCTTAAAAGCCTCCAGTGTTGGAGCACAACTTCTTGAGGCAAGTCGTTCCACTGATTCATTGTTGACAATGACAGGAAATTTCTCCTTAGTTCTAGGAAAGCTGAGAAGGATAATAGTAATTCAGTCCTACTACATTGGTAAATATCTGTTTGAAGTTACAATGGATCCTACAAATGGAATTTATAACCTGATTTCAAAATTCCCAAGGTCACCTCCCCCCCCCCCACATGCTATCATGTGACCATTTGCAGCCATTTGTGGTCATTCTCAGCTTTCCTAGAACTAAGGAGAAATTTCCTGTCCTTGTCAACAATGAATCAGTGGAATGACTTGCCTCAAGAAGTTGTGCTCCAACACTGGAGGCTTTTAAGAAGAGACCACAATTTATGATGTTTTTGTCAGAAATCAGCCTTTGGTGAGGGGGTTTCCAGCAAAACCCCAGCCTGTAGCAAACAATGGGTTCGCTTAACAACTGTGGGTTCGCTTCACTGCAGCATTCACTTAATGACCGCTGTAAAACAACAACAACACATAAAATCAGGTCTGGGTACATGCTTTAAAATCGTCACGGCTTACAACCATAATTGCTAGGCTCAATTCTAGTCAGAAGTCGAGAACTGCTGAAATCATTACATTCGCAGAACAAAGTTCAGAACTAGGAGCTGCCAAAGGGAGGAGATGAAGGCTACCATCCGTGATCTAAACCTTTCTGAGCTCATGATAAACACCTGGCCATCTCTCCCACAGATGGTCCACCCACACAGTCTTTATTTTATTTTCTTCCCTGCAGATAGATGAATCACTGATTAACCCGTGAGGAATTCCTGGGTGCGGTAAATAATACGTTGGTGCCAATCACAGGCCTATCCGTTGGCAGTATGACAGATGGGTCTCCATATCTGTAGGATCTGTGGTTAGAGTGCAGTACTGCAGGCTACTTCTGCTGACTGCCGGCTGCTTGCAATCTGGCAGTTCGATTCTCAGCAGGCTCAAGCTTGACTCAGCCTCCCGTCCTTCCAAGGTGGGTAAAATGAGGACCCAGACTGTTGGGGGCAAGATGCTGACTGTAAACCACTTAGAGAGTGCTGTAATACACTGTGAAGTGGTATATAATTGTAAGTGCTATTACCCTTCCTTCCTTCTTTCTTTCCTTCCTTCCTGTTAGAATGCAGTATTGCAGACTAATTCTGCCAACTGCCAGTAGTTCAATCCTGACTGGCTCAAAGTTGATTCCATCCTTTTGAGGTGGGTAAAATGAAGACCAAGATTGTTGGGGGCGATAGGCTGACTCTGTAAACTGCTTAGAGAGGGCTGTAAAACACTGTAAAGCAGTATATAAGTCCAAGTGCTATTGCTATTCACATTTTCATGGTGGTGACTAGAGGCTAAACCCTAGGATGAACGGTTGCAGGAACTGGGAATGTCTAGTCTAATGAAGAGAAGGACTAAGGGGTCTTCCAGTATATATATGTTAATTCTTCTTAACTTCTATTTTTGGGTTTTACCGGCTTCTCTCATTGATCCTTGTTTCTTTCCTCCATCCACCTATACCATTTTCCCCATATCTAATAATATTCTGTCTCATCTTTTCCTTGAATTTTTTTTGTTAATTTGTCCATTTTGGCACAGTCCATAATCTTTCTTAATATTTCATCTTCACATCAATTTATTTTTCCATTTCTGAGTGAAGGCCACCATAATTATGTGTAGAATTAAATACTGAATCTCTTTTTTATATTTCGTTGTCATTATTCCTAGTAAAAATACTTCTGGTTTCCAATCAATTTTGACTCCTGTTACTGATTCTAGCCAATTTTTAATCTTTTTTTTTACAACAGTAACTCAGCTGGGAATTGCTGTTGTAAATCATTTCGGTCCTTAAGTGACTGTAAAGGTCACCCAGTTGCCAAGCACCCAAATACAATCACATCTCTCTCTCTCTCTCTCCCTCTCTCTCTCTCTCTCCCTCCCTCCCTCCCCCTCCCTCCCTCTCTGTGTGGGTGTGTGTGTACCCATGCAAATGTCAGCCATCAGAATTTCAAAATTGGGTCATGTCCCCTTTTGGCATTCAACATCACTTTAAAATGGTTGCTAAGTGAAGTCTACCTGTAATTGTTATTATGTACTGCTTTACTTTGTGCTCAATCATGGGGTCAGGCTAGAAGACCTCCAGGGTCCTTTCTAGCCCCATGAGTCCAAGAGGAAACATGAAATGTTCGTTTTTTCTCCGTACAAGGGCCCAACAACAACGAACCCACAGAGATCACTTCCAAACTGCTAAAGGCAGAAATACTCCTCATTTCACTGCAATTTTAGTCACATTTTAACCTCCTCGCATAGCTAAGCTACCCTGAGGTGTTAGGAAAGTTAGGACCAGTTCACCAGTCTCTCCGGCGGAATCACCTGTGGGGAGGATAACATCCAAAGTACATTAATTGCATTTCCCTCCTTTTGAAATCAAAACGGCTTTATATTAAAATCACAGCTAAGGATAACTGAGGATTTAATCCGATCAATCTTCATTTAGTTTAGTACAAATTTCAACTCAGCCTCCTGATTAACATCAAATCCAGAGGAAATGCAATTTTGCCGATTAGTCACCAGGTACATGAAGCTCCAACAATATTTCTAAACCTGAACGGCTGCCAAATCACTTGGGGATAAAAGGCCCAACTCGGCTTTCTCTTTTCTTTCAAGCGGAAAAGTTAAACTGTTATCGAGCTATTAAGAACTGGGAGGAAAAATAGAAATGAGGTCATTGCAACCATATAAGTCTAAGTGCTATACTCCAATACAGAAATTTTTCAGGCAGAAGCAGGCACTCGAGAGCCCAATCTAACAATAAATAAATAAGATAAAATAGTAAGGCCAGACTTACCACGGCAACAGCATCACTAGAAAGGATAGCATTAATATCAAGCACTGTATAGTAAGCTATATTGGTCAAGATGTAGATAATCGTCACGATCGGCATAGAAATCGCGATAGCGAGAGGCAAATTCCTGGTCAAATCAAACGAAAAGAAAATACTTCAGTATGAGTCACCTTTTTTTCCCCTGACAATCACCTGTTTGAAACCTGGAATATCGTCTGTTCATATTTGCAGTGATAAATGCATTAAAACACATTAGGTTTTTCAAAAAAGTGCTTTATTTACATTATCCTGGTACCCCATCTGTTCCAGAGACTGTAAATGTGTACTGATTACAGCACACCAGAGACTCACATGATGGGAGGATCAGATCAGAAACTCACATTCTATTATTATTATTATACAATTGTATCACAGCGGCCAGTTGTTTCGGCGGATTTGGCATTG